TTGCTATCACTTGCCTACACTTTGACCTACCCTGCTATATAACAGAGCCAGTCGTGGTACAAATGACCTGGCTGCTGCAGTTGCTTTCCTCTGAGAGGCCATCCCTACCACCCCCCAACAGTATCCAAAATGGAATATTTGTCTGAGAGGGGAATTGCCAGAAGGGACTCCTGCACTGTCTGCCCACAATTATACTCTTCCTGATGGTCACCCAACTCTTTTGTCTGTGTAGCTCTTACTTGTGGTGTGACCAGCTTGCTAACGTGTTGTCCATGGCATTCTGAGCCTCACGGATGCTCCATAGTGAGTCTATATGCAATTTCAGGCACTCCTTGCAGCAAATCAGGAGCTATAGCTGAACACACTTCCTGCTTATATTGTCATCATGGAGTCTGGAAGATCTTTTTTATTCATTGATGGGATCAGGGCCAGGCTAGCAATTATTGCCCTTAATTGCCCAGAGGACAGTTAAGTCAACCACATTGCTCTAAATCTAGAGTCACATGTAGGCCAGACCAGGTAAGGATGGCAGTTTCCTTTCCTAAAGGACACTAGTGAACCAATTGGGTTTTTCCAACAATTGACAGGATTTGTGGTCATTGTCAGACTCTTAATTCTAGATTTTTTTTTATTGAATTCAAATTTCACCATCTGCCTTGGTGGAATTTGAACCACTGTTCCCAGAACATCACCTGGGTTTCTGGATTAACAGTCCAGTGATAATACTACTAGACCATCACCTCCCACCAGTGTCCCTGATTTCCCACATATTGCAGGAGGAGCACACCATTGGGCCATGTTCTCCTGCCATTGTCAACCTTAATAACAAGTAATAAACTAGAAACTTATTACACAACTTAAGCCATTACTCACCAAAATCAAAGTCAGACCTCTCACTCTCTATTCCTAAAAAAAAAAACCACAAAAAATAAACATTTTACACTCTGTCACTCTCCACACACTACCCACTCAGTCTCTAGACTGGGTCCTAAGCAGTCAATCCTATCTCACTTTTGAACCCTGACATCACTTCAGAAGCACCCCTTCTGAATCTAGCTCCACTACACTCTGCTCCCACCACCGCTTTTACTGACTTCAATCCAGGCCCACCACCTGAAGCTTTTATCGAGAAGCTCCTGCTGTTGTTTACCCCAGGTTCACATTGATCTGCTTCCTCGCCCTGACTGACCTCATTGCCATTCATTGAGTCTCTTGTCTTGTTTCTTCTTCCAAGGTGCGTAACCTGAAGTTTATCAGGGTTAAATTCCATCTTTACTCAGAAAGTAGTAAGGGCGTGGAATGCCCTGCCTGCAAAACTACTAGACTCGCCCACTTTAAGGGCATTTAAATGGTCATTGGATAAACGTATGGATGATAATGGAATAGTTTAGGTTAGATGGGCTTCAGATTGGTTTCACAGGTCGGCGCAACATCGAGGGCCGAAGGGCCTGTACTGCGCTGTAATGTTCTATGTTCTACGTTCTATGTTCTATGTTCCATCTGCCATTGATCTGCTTAGTTGATGTTTATATTCTCCTGCAACCGAAATCCTTCCTCATCACTGTCAACAAGCCAGCCAATCTCTGTGTCATCTACAAATTTACTTACCATCCCTCCCGCATTCTCATCTACATCATTTGTGAATATCACAAACAATAACAACCCAGCCCTGTTCCTTGTGGAACACCACTGGATACCGGCCTCCAGGTACACAAATGGCCTTCTACCACCACCCTTTGTCTGCTGTCATTAGGCCAATTTTGGATCCGTCTTGCCAAGTTAACCTGCATCCCCGTATCTTTATCAGTCTCCCATGTCAAAGGCCTTGCTGAAATCTATATAAACTACATCAACTGCCTTAACCTCATCCAAGCGCTTTAGCCACCTCCTCAAAACATTCCACTAGATATTTTAGGCAAGATCTCCCTCTGACAAAGCCATGCTCACCAACCCAGATCGAATGGAGTCATAGAGATGTACAGCACAGAAACAGACCTTCGGTCCAACTCGTCCATGCCAACCAGATATCCTAGATAAGTCTAGTCTTATTTGCCAGCATTTGGCCTATATCCTTCTAAACCCTTCCTATTCATATACCCGTCCAGATGCCTTTTAAATGTTCTAACTGTACCGGCCTCCACCACTTTCTCTGGTAGTTCATTCCATGCACGCACCACCCTCTGTGTGAAAAAATTGCCCTTAGGTCCCTTTTGAATCTTTCCCCTCTCACCGTAAACCTATGCCCTCTAGTTTTGTACTTCCCCATCCCTATCCATGCCCCTCATGATTATGTAAATTTCTATACAGTCACCCCTCAGCCTCCAATGCTCCAGGGAAAATATCCCCAGTCTATTTCCTCTCTACCTATAGCTCAAACCCTTCAACTTTGGCAACATACTTGTAAATCTTTTCTGAACTCTTTCAAGTTTCGTAACATCCTTCCTATTGGTGGGAGACCAGAATTACCTCTGTAGCTAGAAATAAATTTTCTCCTTCATTAGTTTCTTCAAAAGTTTTGCTACTACTGATGTTAGACTTACTGGTCTGTAGTTCCCTAGTTTATTTCTACCACCCTTCTTGTAAAGTGAAACTACATTAGCTGTCCTCCAGTCCTCGGCATCTTCCCCGTCATAAGAAACAATTCTAAAATGTGTATCAGGGCCCCTTTGATTTCCTCCCTTGTCTCTGATAGCAGCCTGGGATACGACTCAGATAGGAGCAAGTTACTGCAGACCTGGAATCTATACTGAAAGCAAAAAATGCTGGTGATCACAGCGCGACAGGCAGCATCGATGGAGGGAAGCAGGCTAACATTTTGAGTCTAGACCTCAAAATGTTTGTTTGCTTTCTCTCCATGGATGCTGCCTGACCTGCTGAGATATAACTCATCCGGACCTGGGATTTGTTCTCTTTTAAGTCTGCCAAAACCACCAATACTTACTCACTTCTTAATCAGTTTGCTCAGGACTTTGTTATTGAATTTCCCTTGGTATACATGTAGAATATCTTGGGATTCTCTCTAATCTTGCCTGCCAGGATTTCTCATACCCTCTCTTTGCTCTCCTAATTGCTTCCTCAAGTTTCCATCTACAGTTCCTGTACTGCTCTCGGGCCTCCATTGTTTTGCTCCCTTTTTACCTGTTATACATCTCTTTTTTACCTTTTTATCTAGTCCTAAATATTCCTAGATATCCATGCTTCTCTGAGATTGTTGCACCCAAAGGGAACATGTTGGGCGTGTACTCCACCACCACCTCTCCATGCCCGCAAAACCACACCCCCCCCACCCCACCCAAGTACATTTTCAAGTACAAGTACCAGTACCATTTTGAACACCTGCCAGTGATCTGTTATAGATTTACCCTCAAATAGCTGTCCCCAGACTATTTTGGCCAGATCCTGCCTTAATTTAATAAAATCTGTCTTACCTCATTCCAAAACCTTTCTTTGCAGATCATCTTTCTCCTTTTCCGTAACAAACCTAAAGTTGGGTTGTTTGTTAAAATAGAGGTACAAAGAATAAAAGTAGGTATGGATAAAAGATACTTAAGAAAATGAAGATAAGATTAGTCTGTTATCGTTACACACTTGTTACTTGCTTGAGGATTCTTTCTGAAGTGAAGCGTATGAAAACTTGAACACAGATTTCAACAGTAGCACTAACTTCTGTTGTTGAATAGTTGGAGGTTGCCTAGACCAGTGAACACTGTAGGTAGAGAAGGCTTTGGCGGGGAGAGAGAGAGATAAGGTTTCTTGTTCCTCACTAATTCTACGTCAAAAGTCACACGACATTAGGTGATAGTTCAACAGGTTTATTTAAAATCACAAGCTTTCATAGCACTGCCTCTTCGTCAGGTGAAGTGAAGAGAGCACCCAGACACAGCATTTATAATCAGAGAGAACAAAAGATCATACAAATCGTGTGAGTGGAGTGTTAACAGGCCGAATAATAGGTCTCTGCAGGTGATCAAGAGTGTCATTCCCTTGGATTATGAGGATAGACTGAGTAGGCTGGGATTATACTCATTGGAATTCAGAAGAATGAGGGGAGATCTTATAGAAACATATAAGATTATGAAGGGAATAGATAAGGTGGAGGCAGGAAGGTTGTTTCCACTAACAGGTGAAACTAGGATTAGGGGGCTTAGCCTCAAAATAAAGGGAAGCAGATGTAGGACTGAGGTCAGGAGGAACTTCTTCACCCAAAGGGTTGTGGATCTGTGGAATTCCCTGCCCAGTGAAGCGGTTGAAGCTACCTCGCTGAATGTTTTTAAGGCGAGGCTAGGTAAATTTTTAAACAGTAAAGGAATTAAGGGTCATGGTGTGCGGGCGGGTAAGTGGAGCTGAGTCTCAAAAAGATCAGCCATGATCTTATTAAATGGCGGGGCAGGCTCGAGGGGCCGGATGGCCTACTCCTGCTCCTAGTTCTTACGTTCTTATGTCAGACGGTGTGAGTAAAGTGTCAACAGCTGAATAACAAGCGAATGACCTATAATCCGATTAATTGAGGCAGCGAGGTAATTATAAAAAATTAAAAATAACGTGGTGCTGGAGATAAATCAAATGACTGGAATAACATGATAGGTATAAGAGTCACATGCTGAGGGTCTGACCAAAGTAACAAGTAATCCAAAACTGTACAAACTAATTAAGGTAGAGAGATCATAACAAGTTATCAAGGTGATACCGTGTTGATGGGGTTTGATTTCCATGTGCAGTGGGGTTTTATCTGTTGGTGTTGGCAAGGTTTGTTCTCTCCATGTGGTGGGATTATGTATCTCTGTATTGATGGGATTTGGTCTCTCTGTGTTGGCAAGGTGTTACCTCCCTGTCTGTCCATGTTGGTGGGGTTTGGTCTCTCTCTGCAGTGGGATTTTGACTCACCATGTTGGTAGGTTGTGTTTCCCTGTGAAATGGGATTTTGTCTGTCTATGTTGGTGGGGTTTACTCTCCACGCGTTGTTCTATGAATCACTGTTTAATAGGTGTTCTTTGTCACAGGCCTCTGTCTTGCTGGATCTGCTGTTTCCTGTCATAGTGACTCACTGTGAGGACAAGAGGAGCCCAATTCTGTCCCGTGCTTTTCAAGGTAAGTTGTTCTGTTCAATGTTGTCTCTGAGTCACGTAACAATGATGCGGCTGGGCGGTTCCACACACACCAATCCGTGTGTGTCACATGAGCTTCCTTATTATTAGAGGGGTTATTGTTTCTGAGAACTTGCAGAGCCCTGTTATTCTTAGTCTTTATGCCATTTGGCCCATTGAGTCCATATTAGTTCTCTGTAGAACTATTCAGTCAGTCCTATTTCCTCATTTTATCCACGTAGCCTTGCAGGATGACAGTGGCTCAGTGGTTAGCACTATTGCCTCACAGAGCCAGGGACCTGGGTTCAATTCCTCTGGCAACTGTCAGAGGACAGGCAACTGTCTTTGTGGGTTTGCTCTGGTTTCCTCCCACAGTCCAAAGGTGTGCAGGTTAAGTGCATTAGCCACGGGAAATGTAGGGTTACAGGGATGGGGTGGGTCCAGGTGGGATGCTCTTCGGAGGGCTGGTGTGGACTCAATGAGCTGAATGGTTGCTTCCACATTGATTTGCAGCGGCTCAGTGGTTAGCACTGCTGCCTCACAGCGCTAGGGAGCCTGTTAGATTCCAGCTTTTAGTGACTGTTTGTATAGAATTTGCACATTCTCCCGTGTCTGCGTGTGTTTCCGCAGGGTGCTTTGGTTTCCTCTCACAGTTCCAAGATGTGCAGGTTGGGTGGATTGGCCATGCTAAATTGTCCCATAGTGTGCAGATTAGGTGGCTTAGTCATGGTAGTATGCAGGTACATGGAGATAAGGTGGAGGGTTGGTGCAGACTCAATGGGCCAAATGGCCTCTTTCTTCACTGTAGGGTTTCTATGATCTATGAAGTTTAATTTTCTAAAGTGTCCATTCAGTTTCCTTTTGAAATAATTTCTCATCTTCACTTCTACCAACCTCAGGCTTCCATGTCATTACCATCTTTACTTTGTAAAGAAGTTCTTTCTCATATCCACTTTGTATCTCTTGTGCAGAACCTTAAATGTCCCCTATTCCATATCTTTTCTTTGTCTACTTTATCCAAATGTGGTCTCTTGCATCTTGGGAGGATTAACATGGCAAGGGAGTATACATTGAATGGTAGGACCTTAGAAAGGACAGAGGATCAGAGGACCTTGGTGTGCATTTCCACAGTTCCTTGAAGGCTGCAGGTCAAGCAGGTAAGCTGGTTAAGAAGGACGAGGTAAACTTGCCTTTAATAGTCAAGGCATTTATTACAAAAGCAGGGAGGTTATGATGGAGCTGTAAACAATGTGAGTAAGGCTACTGCTGGCACAGTGTGTACTGGTCACCGCACTAGGATGTGATTGCACTAAACAGGGTGCAGAGTAGATTCTCATCCAGCTCTACACCTTGTTATCTCAGATTCACCAGGATGCTGGGCTGGAATGAGTCAGCTAAGAAGAGCCTCTACTCAGACTATGGCTGTTTTCCTTAGAGCAGAGAAGCCTCAAGGGACATTTGGTACAAAATTATGAGGGGCATAGACAGGGACAAAATGTTTTCCTTGATTCAGGGGTCAGTAACCAAGGTAAGAAGCAGGAGGTTCAGAGGGTACTTGAGGAAAAATATTTCATCCTGAGGGTGGGATCTTGAACTGCCTGAAAGGATGGAGGAGGTAGGAACTCTTAAGGCATTTAAGAACTATTTAGATGAGCACTTCAGATAAGCTACGCAGCCAAGTGCTGGAAAATGGATTGCAATAGATGGATGTTTGATGATTGGTGCAGACCCTATGTGCAGAAGGCTGTTTGTCTGTGCTGTAAACACTCTTACATTTCAAATTTGTCATAAGCTCATAGACCTTAATCAAATTCCCACTCAATCTCATATGATCCAAGGGGAACAAACTCAGCTTCTCCAACTTAACCTAGGTAGCTAAAAGCCAATCCTTGGAACCATTCCAGTAAATCTCCTCTGCATACTGTCAAGCACCCTTACATCTTTTCTAAAGTATGGTGATCAGACTAGATGCAATAGTTTGTCATTGAAAAAGCCAGCACTTATTGTTTGTCTCTAATTGTCCTTGGGAAAGTGGTGATGAGTCACTCTTGAATTGTTGCAGTCCTTGGGATGTTAGGCACAGTGCTGATGGCCGAGACTTTCAGGATTTTGACTCGGCATCAATGAAGGAACAGCAATGTAGTTTTAAAACAGGATTTTGTGTGGCTTAGAGAGTCAAAATGTTCCCATGTATTTGCTGCCTTTGTCTTTCCAGGCGTGGTAGAGGTTATAGGTTTGGAAGGTGCTGTTGAAGGAACCTCAGTCAGTTATTACAATGCATCTTGCAGATAACATACACAGCTGCCACCTTAGGTTGGTATTGAAGAGAGTGATGCTGGCAGTGTGCTGATCAGACAGGCTCCTGGATGGTGTTGAGCTTCTTGAGTGTTGTTGCTGCTGTAGTCATCCAAGCAAGTGGAGAACATTCTGTCACACTTCTGACTTGTACCTTACAGATGGTGGACAGGCATTGAGGTGTCGGGAGGTGAGTTACTCGCCACAGACTCCTCAGCCTCAGGCTGCATGTGTAGCCTCAGTATTTAAATTGCTAATCCAGTTCAGTTTCTGGGCAGTGGTAACCCCAAGATGCTGTTTGTGAGGAATTCAACCATGGCAGTGTAATAGAACACCAGTGGCAATGGTTAGATTCTCTCTTGAAGATAACTATGGAGTATGTTTGATGTTTGTGTAGTGCAGATTGTCACTAATCAATCCAAGCCTGGCTGTGGTTAGAGACAAGAAAACTGCAGATGCTAGAATCCTAGCTAGACAAACAGGAAGCTGGAAGAACACAGCAAGCCAGGTAGCATCTGAAGGAAAGGAGTAGTCAACGTTTCGGGTATTGCCCTCCTTCAGAAGAAGGGTAACACCTGAAACATTGACTGCTCCTTTCCTCTAGATGCTGCCTGGCTTGTTGCGTTCTTCCAGCCTCCTGCTTGTCTACCAAGCTTAGCTGTGGTCTGTGGATGGCTCCTTAAGAACATGGAATGTTTCATTTTCTGAGAAGTCATGATTGGTATTGAACGTGATGTAATGAACAACAAACATCTCACTTCTGATCTTATGATTGAGGGGTGGTTGTTGACGAAGCAGCTGAAGATGGTTGTGTCCAGGATCGTACACTGAGGAACTCTTGCAGGGGCGTCCTGGAACTGAGATAGTGCTTTTATTTATTGCTTTGTCATGATGACAATACAAAAATAGGAAAGAAGGTTGTCAGGAAGATGTGAAGAGACTGCAAAGGAATATAGAGAGGAAGTGGGCAAAAAATTGGCAGATGGAGTATGAGTCTACTTACTTTGGTGGGAAAGATTGGAAAGCAGAAGAGAGATTATAATATCCTGTCATATTTGAATTTCAAAAGATTAACATGCAAGTACAGCAAGTAATTAGGAAGGCAAATAGAATATTGACTGTTATTGAAAAGGGGATGGAGAATTAGTGTAACCTTATCACAACTGTATAGGTATTCGGTGAGACTACAACTAGAGTACTGTGTACAGATTAAGTATCCTTTTTTTTAAAGGAGGGATATACTTTCAGCTCAGAGTCAGTTCAGAGAAAATTAATTATTGGGATGAAAGGGTATGAAGAAATTGTTAGGAAAGATTGAACAGGGAGGCACTAATTGGAGTTGGAAGAACTTTTGTTGAGGAAAGGGGTGGCATGGTGGCTCAGTCCAAAGATTTGCAAGCTAAGTGGATTGGCCATGTTAAATTGCTCATTGTGTCCAGGGATGTGTAGGTTGGGTGGCTTAGCCATGGAGAATGCAGGCCTACAGTGATAGAGTAGATGGTGAGTCTGGATGTGATGCTGATCGGTGTGGACTCAATGGGCAAATGGCCTGCTTCCACATTGTAGGAATTCTGTGATTCTATGAAAGGTGATATTACTGAAACATAAGAATCTGTGATGTTGACAAGATGGATACTGATATGTTCCTCTTGGTTAAGAGCAACTTCACACCAGGGGAGATAGTAGGAACTGCAGATGCTGGAGAATCCGAGACAACAAGGTGCAGGGCTGGATGAACACATCAGGCCAAGCAGCATCATAGGAGCAAAGAGGCTGACGTTTCGGGCCTAGACCCTTCATCACCTTTTCTGATGAAGGGTC